CTAACATTTGATCATTGACTTCCACATCATCATCATCTACCTCTTTTCCCTTTGACAGTTGCACAGTTGGTAAGAGCCTTCCCTCCTGCAGTTCCTGCCATATGGAGCTCCTAGGAACTTTCAACTCCATTGATTTCCAGCTCCTTTCAAATCCCACCTGCAAATCTGTTTTTCTGTGCTTGAATCTCAGTTTCTGTGTCCTTTTGCTAATCTGAAGCTTCACACTGTACAGTATAACTTACTATACTGTTTAATTCTGCACTCCTTTAATACTAGGCCATTAAAGAAAATTTTATACAAAATATATGTCAAATGCAAAGTTATGATCTATTCTCATAGTCTCAGTCTTAATTAAAAATTGGGGGACACTTTTGTATCAAAGTGATTAATTAATATATCAATGGAACTGGACGTATGGTGGACACTAACCAACAAGTAAGTGGTAGAATTGGGTTCCAAATAATCTCTGCAATTATTTTATGGTCCCTTCATGAACACTGCCATGTACCTGTAGGGGCACCTGTATCCCTGACAGGTCCCCTACAGAGATATAGCCAGAACCAGACTGATTCTTCCCCAACAGCCTCTAATCCAAGTCTGAAAAGAGAACAACATACTAAAAAATTGATGCCTTGGTCTGTGCATGCCAAACAGCCTGACCAGCCTGCCTCAAATCAGATTCTTCATTGCTTCTAGGTGACTCTCCAACAGCTTCTTCTCAATAAAAATGGTTCAAAATTTGTTCACCATCAGTCATTAGAAAATAAATCTGTTGTGCTGCCAGCCTATGGGAGCTACACCCTTTTGCCTGTTGGTCTGCTGCTTTTTTCACACCATATATACATACATATATATATATATATATACATACATGAAATGCTTTATGGGAGGAAATCAGCTGAAGTACATGGTACCCTCCTGATGCCCCTGCTCAGGGAGTTGGCAGAGCACTGGATGGACATTTTCTCTCTAAATACCAAACCTAGAGCTTATTAACTTGTTCTTGGATTACTTGAACATGTTTTGAGAAATACAACCCTTTGAGAAGGCCTGGGAGTTCAGGGCACGGGTCCCAGAGGCACCTCCTCCTGGCTCTTAGAACTACCTGGGGGCACTTGAGCTGTGAGTCCTGTCACAGCAGAGGCTGGGCTGGAGCAACTGTCCTGGTGGTTCATCCACCTCAAGGAACCTCCATCTCATCTTTCCAGAGCGTACAGAGCAGGGTGGGGTGATGGAAGTAAGGGCAAAGATTTTCTGTGAATTTATCTGATTGCATTTAAAACTCTATGATACCCTTAAAAATGAATCTGAAAAGAAACATGGACCTCAACTAAAGAGATATGAATATTACCCAAGTCTTCAGCTCTTGTTGTATTATGAACTACTCGGGCTCCTAACCCTGGACATGGCCACACATAGCTCATCTTGTTCTCTCAGATTCTTTGCCCCCAGCCCCACAGATCTGCAGCCAGTGGCACTGCTCCCCCCCAGGAGAAGGTGGGGCACACCTGAGGAGCTCCCTGTGCTGTACACACAGTGGCTACAATTGCAGAACAAAGCAGCACAGCCTTCATCCGAGAACAAATATGTTTTGTTGGCATGGAAACAGTAAGTTAGGCTGAATGTGGTAAATATCCAGCAGTCATAAAAAATGGACCAAGTCGGAATATTAAACATTAACAATGAAAACTCACTGAATGCTTTTGAATTATAGCTCTTTTACAATTATCAGTCCTGCTTTCATTTGAACATAAGTGAAATCCACTTAACAAAGCTGTGACATTTTATTCCAAATACTTCTACATCCTTGTGCAGATAACTCCTTTCTCCCATTTTTATAATCTATTTGAGAAAAAAGAAATTAAAGGGCTGGAAATCTACATTGGTATTCCCCTTCATTCCCTCAGTAACATTCATGAATTGAACATAATTGATTTTCTGTCTTCAGAGAATCTCCCTCCTGTAAGACTCTACTTGTGACTTGACTGCTTGGAGGACTATTCCTATGGTCTGAGTACCTACAGGGGTGCTAATTCACTTGCTTGTGAACATGAGGAACTTTTTTCCCTCTGTTATCCCTAATTAGAAATTTTACATCATAGTCAATCCACCCCTATAGTTAAAAACATTAGAACAAAAAATGAAAATAATGTTGTTGTTTTTTCTGAAAAAAAATCTCATGTTTAAGTCTAGAAGAGAGATTCTTGCAGCTTTTTTGTATACTGAGTTGGGGTGATTGCCCTCACAAAAAGGAATTTTAAATAAAATGAGATATTCTAAAGAAATCAAGGTAATAAAGCAAGAAGATCACTACCATTCATTTTTACACAGGCCCCAATTCAGCAAAATTGGTTGCACTTGTCTGAATTCCCAGGTTCCTTCAGGCCCATGCATAAGCTCTCAGAAATGTACATCATTTTAATCACACACTCACAGGATGCAAAGTCTGCTGCATGAACAGTTCAGGTTTTCTAATGATGACTGACAACTGCACAAAGCCATTTGACTCAAGGAAGAGAAACATTTTTAGTAGAATGAAAGATCTTTCTATCAGAAATCTTGTCTTATATTAGATCTAGGCACGTATCAGAGACAACCAAGTGATAAACCACAAGGGCATATGATACAGGAACACAACTTCAGTGGGATTAGTTGACAAGAAGCTGGTTCTTACAGTTATATATTACTGAGATTTAAGAAACTCCAACATTGTTTGCAAAGAAAATGTTTGGACACACACAAATTTCCTAGGAACCTTCCCAGACTGCTTTAACTGTCTTGGGACTATATATGAAGAAATTCCTATATTAAAATAACTATATATTAAGCATGAGTCACACTTTATTTACTGCTAGCTTGCCACTTTTTGCCAATTACATATATCGGAATAAATTGGACATCTAATTTTTGAAGAAAACATCCAGCAGTTGGGGATGAAGTAAACTGGAGTAAACACAAGTTCATACAAGAACATGAAGTACTGGAATGAAAAAGCTGTAGAAAAACAACAGCTCATCTTCAACTGCAGCACCACGTTTGCCTCCAGACAGCTCAGGGCTTGCCATTGGAGTCCTTCTAACACATTTCCCCCTCCTTATTTGTGGGATAGTTTTTCTCTGTCTCTCTGGATAATTATAATAAAGAAAGGTTAACTCTGTGTGATCACCAGAGGGTTCTTGTAACAGAGTTAAGCTTTGTGGATCTGTCAGTCTCTCTTGGAGAGTGAAGAGTTATAAGGACATTGCACTGAAAAAGACAAACATGGAGCACCAAGATACCACCCAACAAGCTGTAACGAGAAACAGCTTTATATTTTTAATTAAAAGCACAACAAAATGTTTTTTTCATGTCTCATTCATTTGTTTGTTGTTGTTATAGAATCAAACCCCATGATTTTTCCTTTTAATGAAAACCAGAAGCTGTTTAACCCTCTCTCCTCCTTATTTATAGACATTTAAAAGCTCTGAAAAGGGGCCTTTGTGGTAGTGCCAGAGCAAATTTTGATGTTTTATGCTATTCTGATTCAGACACTATTTGGTCAAAGCAGAAAGCAAGTTCTAAGTCACTGCCTTAAATATTTCACCTCCCTAATCAGCTGATGAGTCGTTAGCCACTGTTAATGTTTGATGAACATGTTTACAGGTAGCCTGGCTAAGACACAATCACTAGAAGTATGTCAGAGCTGTCATTTTTGTCTTTGTGTGGTGCAGTCATTTAAATGACATTTCTGTTTCATTTATACTTTCCCAGCTGAGCCAGTGCTTCATTAAGGTAGTGTGGGCAGGACAGTCCTCTCAGCTGGTTTGGACCAGGTACTCATGGAAGAGAAAACCTTGAAGGCAGGAAGGGGGGGAACCATCCTATGAAACTGTGTGTCTGGCCTTTTACCTCTGTATTGCACAACTCATTTTTTCTTTCTTCATCTGGGTCTTCTCTCAAAGTGGGTCAGAAAAAATAATGCAAAATGGCCATGGCAAAGATTAAAGAAAAGATAACAAAAGAGATTTGGAAGAGGAGTCCTGCAGCCTGCAGGGCAGTGTTGTGCCCTGGGAGGGACAACCACTGCAGGTCACCTCACTCATTACACCAAATTCCTCCAGTGCTGCAGGCACTGCAGCTAAGGGGGAGCCTGTCTCAACATCTAGATTCGGGAGGCAGAGATGAACGGGAGCAGGAAATACCTGAACCTGAACACCACGGGTGACTGAGGGTCCTTGTGTGCAAGGAGGGTGAAAACAAGTGGGGGAAAAATATTTGAAATCGTTTGTTATCATCCTGCTGCAACGACCTCAACTTCTAGTCCTGCAGGTAAAACTTAGAACTCTTTCTATCAGATATATGCTATTGATACTGTTCACTCAGCACCACAGAAAGTCCTCAAATGTTGCAAGAAGTGATTTTTATCAGAAATCTGAAATTTCATTTGCGATTCAGACACCCACAGCCTGCACACCTCCCTGAATATTTCATTTTAATCTGCTTTGAATGCAGATCATTAACTTTCAGTTTCTATACTAGTCTGTAAACTACATTCACTGTTTTCCTTGAAATCTCTGCTTTCACTGACAGTGCCCAGAACAATGTTAGCACCATTAATCACATGGAACTCTTTACAGACAACATGCGGGGACAATGAACGCATAAGATCGGGAATAAAGATTATTTTTAGCTCAGTTATTGTCCAATTATAATTCTCTTCATACAAGCCATTGAACAACAGGTTGAACAGTCTCATAAACCTCTATTAAAACAGTACAGTCAGTTCAAAATAAATGCATCATTTAACAGCTAGAATAGTTGAAATACCAACTCGAAATACAGAGCAGGAGATAAGACCTTGCCTGTAGGGTTTGGGCAGTTTAATTCTCTTTTACTACCAAAAACCAGAAATAAAAGCTACCTGGACATTTTGCAAGAAAATCTACGCTTTTGTTTTGAAGGAAGACATTAAACACAGGTCCTCTTTGCCCAGGGAAGGGGTGTGGGGGCAGCACCAGTACCTGCTCCTGGACCTCCAGCTCCCGGCGCCGCAGCAGCTTCTCGGCAGCCTGTGCCTGGACGCGGTAGGTGTCCACCTCATCTTGTAGGGCCTGGAACAACACCAAGGGGTGCAAAACACACGTGAGACACATGGGATGGTGGAAAAATGTCACTTGATGAGCTGATTAAGAGAACAGGGCAGTATCCACAGCTCCTCAGCTTGGCTGACTCCAGGCACGCACGCCAGCTGGGCCACCCTGACCAAGAGCAGTTATTCTGCACAGGTAGGACCATCAACTGAACAGGAGTCCTTAAATCTGAGTAGCTCTGTCTTATTGCAGACTACAAGTATTGATGCTAAAGATGTAATAAATGTCCTCAAAGACTGAAAGGGAAATGGAAATGCTGCAGTTTCAATAACTGTATTGGCAGTCTCAGATTTTTGCGATCATCTTATTGGTACAACTTGTTTCCAGGAGCAGTTTTGCACTGTACCAAGAGCTTTTCCTTTAAGGCCAAAGAATAATCTCTCTGAAAAACCATGTCTGGAAGTTGCAGTGACAAAGTAGTTCATACTATTGAAGGGGATGTTTGCTCCCCTCCCGCCTCATTGAGAAGTCTAGCACGTGATCTACAAATTAAGTATAAATAGCAATAAATAAAAGGGACCTTACGATCATATCACTTTACCACAGCTATCCCAGTCTTTCTTTAGTTCAGAAATAATCACTAAGTTCACAAAATGCATTGACAAATTTGTTTTGTCATTGTTGTTCTTCTTATATATTTATTTTTATTACAGCAGGCCCTCAGAGCCCTGAACATGTTGTTAGATGCTTAACAAAAGATCAACCATGCCCCAAGGAGCTGGTAGACTATGTTATTTCTAACATACACACAAACAAACAATGCCAAGTTTCAAAGTTTGTTGGTTTTTTTTTCAAGTTTCCTACTCATTGTTGCATGTTTGAATACACACCTAACATTTATTTACACATTTACTAAAAGCTTAGTTAAGTTGTCAGCTTGAAGAAAGGCATTGTTGGCAGCAAGTGCTGACCTGAAGCAAAGTGCACAATGTGGATGGGAGATTGACATGCCTAGGAAGGAAGCTGGGGCAACCCAGAGGGAATATCTGGAGTTATCTTTTGCACACCAGGAAGCTGGGGCATTGCTGCCCATTGGCTGGGAGGTGGTGCAGAGTGGGGACTGGACCTGGGGAGGGACTTGAGCAGGAGATCCCCTCTAAATGACACCCAAGGTGCCTCCAGGGATGCTTTATAAAAAAGGTGAGCTGCACAGAGACCTTCTGCAAGCTGTGTGGGAGAGACCCACCAGCTGGGGACTCCAGGCATGCTTTGCTGGATGTGCACTATGGTCACCACTCGCTTCCTCCAAGCAGAACCAGAACAGCCAAACACAAACCAGGACCAGGGAGAGTCCTCCCAGGACAAAGATTTTACAGAGAAAACCCTTGCTCTTTTCCACAGCACTGCAATTCTGAACTCTCAAATCATTTACAGGATAGAATTGCTATTGAGATAAGATAAGAGGACTACTTATGATAGATCTTGCACATTGTTTTGAAGTGATGCCAGGCATTAACTTTAAAGTCTTCTAGCTATAAGACTATTACATGTTCTGATGCCAAAAAATTTAACCAGACCCAAGCATGAACTTCAGATCTGCCCAGGGACTTTTACACTATCACTGCTTCTGAGAAATGCTGAAATCCAGGCTTTGAATACACAACCAGTCTTCAGTAATCAACAAGCCCTGCAGTACCAGGGATTTGCATTGATATAATGAAATATACGTATGAATTGTGGGCTTTTTGTTTTCTTTTTCTACACCTAATTTTGTATGGTAAAAAACAAACGAGCACACTTTGATTTCAAAACTAAATTGATCAAGTCTGCAATGTAGAACAGTTGGCAGGAACACGTTCCATCTATCAGAGGTATCACCACAGACCCAAGTAACTTGACAAAAGTCCTGTCCTAACTCCAAAGCATCCAGACATCACCAGAACTGGACTCCCAGGAACATTCACAGAACACATTTTGGATAAGCTACAAAGGAAGACCCTTCTTCTCCTGCTATTTCCATGGGATCAGCTTATGCAAACAGCCTGGCATGGGGAAAAAGGAGGAGGGAGGAAACCTTGCTCCAGCTCAGCCATCCTGCCCAGAGTCCCTCCTTGAGCTCAGGACCAAGTTTCACTCCTTCACAGGACACTGAGGATGGTCAAGAGACAGCCTGTGCATGTACAAATGTTTATGTATGTACCTGTGTCTCAGAGAACAGATCTATGTCACACTCCATCACAGAAGTCTGCACTGAATGCAAAACAATCCAAAATTGTTCCTAGTAGAGAAAGCAACAACATGGAGCAAAAGGAGAGAGCTGGTGCACTGCTGCTTCCTGCCTTCACTGCTACATTTTCACTTTTCTTACTTACAAGGGACAAACGTACTTTGCTGAGCATAAAAGAAGAGGTTCCTTCAAATCTGAGGGTTTGCAATGTATCATAAAGTCATTTCATTTGGGAAATTCAGATGAGACACAGTCTTTGTTATGTCCACCTACCCCAGATAGCACTTGCCAGCCTGGAGCACACCTGCTTCATTAGGAGAGCAGACAATGTCTTAAACAAGTACAATTTAGAACTAACTTATTTTTACTAGAGCATGTAAGTGCAGGAAAGTGTTAAGTCTTATAATTATCCATCAATCCAATTATCCATCAAGTTTAACAAAACAATCTGCATGAGTTTATCAACTCCAATCAGATCAGAACTGGGGATGGAATACTTTCTACTGGGATGCCAGAAAACAAGATTCAACTCCTCTCATCAAGCACCTCTACCTTGACCATTTTTGGACTGCTGCTGTGTTGCACACTGGCTCTCTTGGTCACTTGGTAGAACTTAGTTTTGTGTATAAAGGATGTTTCATGAGTAATTAATGTTCATTTGGGTATTTCAGCTTTTCCTTCCAGCACAAGGACAAAAAAGTAAAATCCAAAGATCAGTATCTGATCAAAGCCAGGCCAAAAAAAAAGGAAGTAGTAACATCAAAATCTCATGGTTGCTGCAGGTTCCTGCATATGCTTAGCTCTGGAAAGAGTAATTAGAAGTAAGCAAGTTTGTTGCCCATGATTTTAATTTTCTAGGAGAAATCAGGATGGATGTCATGAATAATGTGCCCTTTTGAAGATCACACTGAAAATTCTCTCTATTGTCAAAAAGCTTCATGTGCTGCAGCCTGAGCCTGAATGCTGATCACTGCTTCTGAAGGGACCCAGTGCCCTCACATCTCTAGCTGCATCTGAGAGAGCAGCTTTTGTCACACAGAACACTCCTAAAAACAGCAGACACCTTATCCCAGGCACACTGCTGAACATTGCCTTTGGAAAATAAAATAACAGTGTCTGTTGAGTTTTGTTTAGAAATGCAGTTTTCATTCTAGAGCTTCAAAGTGTCAGATTTTGCCCAAAGAGTAAGAGCTTTATAACTGTGGAGATGAAGAAAAATGGATTAAAAAAAAAAAATCTGGAAAAAAGGCAAATTTTTAAGTGTCAAAGGGGTGTTTTTTTTCCTGAATGGAAAACAAAGCCTAACTTACTTAGTTAAACTTATTTAGTTAAACTTTTCCAGGTACAGAATGAATCCCCATCCCTCAGCTTTGCTAAGTGCATTTATATCACTGTTAAAAAGACAGTTGGTTGGGGTTTTTTTCAGTTAAACTGGCTTCCAAATGCCATGTAAACATGTTTGCTGTTGAAAGTCTACACCATACCTGACCTTGGAAGTGCTTTGTGTTGGCCTGAGAACAAAGAAATGAAATGTTTTGCTTTCCAGCCCAGATATCCTACACTTTGAAAGGCACTTAAACATGTAAATGAGATAATAAGCTCTACTGCAACAATGTGGGTGAATTACAGCTGCATAAAAGGAACATTCATGTGATTTATTTATAAAAATGGAAAGGATCCTAAAATAAAATCGTATTGTGAATGTTTTGGTCCCACAGAACACTGAGAGACACGAGAAGGATGGAAGGGGAAAGTAATGGCTTTGAGGCTACACCATGGAAATGTTATGGTCAGATTTTGGGAGCTTCAGTGGAGCTGGTGGACTGGTCCATCACTGGGATATGTGGAATGTTGGCTCCTGGCTGATCCAAAAGGAGAACGGACCATCAGAACTGCACCTCTGGGTAGGCACTTTGGGTTTATTTCTGTTATTCTACTGTGGTTCATTGTTTCATACAGTTTATTTCAGTCCTAACTCGGCTCATGGTAACTGGGAGCACGTTGGAGAGGACGGTGCAGCACTGGGTGGGTCAGGGCAGCACTTGGCCTGTGCAGCTCATTGGGATGTTGGGATGGGGCACAAGGAATTCAGCCTGATTGCTGAGGACCCAAATGAGCCTGGAAAGGAGTTGTGATTTTTTTTTTAAAAAATCCTACTTGTAAAGCATGTATTTTTAACAAGGAGCCACAGAGAGACAAAAAGGTACAAAGCCAGCATTACAGAATCCCTTTTCAAGGCAGGAATACATTCCTGGCAGTAGGTACAGGGCTTCAGCTAAATCAACCAAAAACTGGTAAGAGAAATAGTTCTAAGAATCACAAGAACAAGTATGGAACAGGAGTATATGAATTATTTAGTCTTAAATACATAAAAAGTATTTGATTATCTTTTAACCACAGGATATTTTTAAAGAGCTTCGGATTCCCTTAAAAAAAATCAGTCCTGGAGGAATGACAGGAACAGAAGTCATTATTTTTTTTAATTACTTGGTATTGATTAGTAGTTAAGATACTGTATGTACAAAGGTGTGATATTTTGTTTCTTCAACCTGAAGTAATTTCCTGTTTTTGGTGTGCTCCTGAGAGCAGACAAGGCTTGATTCCTGCTCTCACCACATCAGTGGCAAGTCAGGGATCACTGTGATTTACCTTTGAGAGTTGAACATGTGATGTTTAGAAGGAAAGGAAAATCTAGAAAATGTTAAAACCCCAAAGTATTTTCTCTTTGAAACAAAAAGCATCATCAGGGAAGTCACTGCTCCTTGTGATCAGATGATGGCAGGTAGTGGCAAAG